CGGTTTCGTGTGCCAAAATATAATTAGGTGCATACCTTGGGAGACCCAGTAATTTTTTTACTAAGTATCTTTTAAACTTTTCCAAAACTTCATAGGGCTCGAAACCCCAAACCTGCCCAGCATAACCAATCACTGCCCGAGAGACCGAATAACAAACCACTAGTTTACTTGAATAGGGGACATTTTTGTTAGCTATGAAATTATGTCACGTAGAATTTAGGCCAAATTTTGCATGCCTTACTCTTTCAGCAAAGAGTAAGCCCCATGGCCTCATATGCCCTCATATGGCCTCATATGCCCCATGGCCAACCTTGGGGTAATGATAACACCCAGATATTTATACTTGTTTACTACTTCAACAGGGCTTCCGCCGAAGTTCCACCCCTCATATTTGGATAGTCTACCTCCATTGCGAAAAACTATTATTTTTGACTTGGCCAAATTCATATGCAAGTTCCACATTCGGCAGTAATTCTCCAAGTGGTTTATCATACGCTGTAATTTAACTGGGGAAGGGGGTAATAGTACTACGTCGTCTGCATACTGTAAACATCTAATATTTACTCCTGCGATTTCTAGCCACTCTTCCAAATTTTCGTGTAAATCGTTTATGAACAATGCAAATAGCAAAGGACTAAGCAGACAACCCTGTCTTAACCCTACTGATGTTTCGAAAAAGTCTGTTAATCCTTCTTTATGATATACGGTAGCTTTAGTATTTGTATGTAAACTTCTTATGATATTCAAAAATTTATGAGACAGCCCAAGATTAGCCAACTTAAAAAACAGAGCCTCCCTATCTAAATCTATCTATAGCCAACAATCAAACGCCGCTTTAAAATCAATGAAAAATACATATACTTTACGACATTCTTTTGCCAGAGTCAGTTAGACAATGCTAAACAAGCTGAAAATGTGGTCAACGGTTGAGTACTCCGGACACTTGGAAATCATTTAATATGTCATTTGTGTTCACTCAGTTCCATAAACGTCCCAATAAAATTCCAGTCAATAATTTTGTAATTACGTTAATAAATCATATGCCCCTAAAAATATTAACGTTATGGATATCTCATTTTTTGAATAGCAGGTAAATGACTGATTTAGTGAAGCTCTGTGGGATTATTCCACTATTAAAGTAATAATTGAATGCGTTAACGATTTGTTGCAATACGCATTATGGGGAATTTACGAAAAATTCATACGGCACAGAGTCGATTCCTGGTGCTTTATTATTTTTTGCCTTAGCCAATACACATTTTAATTCGTCTAAACCTATTTCCCTATCTAGCTCAAAGTTTTCCCATTTTGGAGTGGCATAAAATATTTGAGGAGCTTTTATTACAGGATTCAACAATAAATCAAAGTAATGTCTAGACTGCTCACCTGTAATATTAGATTCACTAATAAAATTTGAAGTCCTGAATTGGTTTTTTAGTGACCACAGATCTTTAGTATCTTTAATACATTTAAATTTTTCTTTAAGGGTCTTATAATAATCATTCCGTTTTTTTCTAACTAATTCTTTGTACTCATTATTTACCCTCAAGTATTGAATTTTTTTTAAAACATTATTTCGTTTTCTAAAAATATTTAGAAATCTAAAAGATTTATCCCGGGATTGAATGCATTCACCGTCGAACCACTGCTGTTTTTCTAATTTTTTACCATTGTTTATCTGTTTTTTTATGAAACGCACATTCTATAATACATTCTAACAATAGTTCCAGTTTTAGATCTGATTCATTAATCTCATCTAATTTTATGTAATTTAATTTAATCCGCCCAGAAGACTGTTAAGGCGCTGGCCAAGAGACTATATTGAGCTGATTGCTATCTTATTAGTCTTGTCATAATCTTTTTTTTTTTTACTAGGTTATTTACTTTTTTTTCTATTGGTGGGTGAGTGAGGTGAGATTATGTATAATAAAACTCGTGAAGAGCATGCCTAACATTCCTTCCTCTTGGAGTAGATAGTCAAGATCCACAAAACTGATCTTTAGCGTTATAGTCATCTCCTGCTACAAACTATCTACCATGATGTTTAAAGAACTTACTAAACATCGTCGGTGTCAGGGAATTCCTTGGGAGACAATAAACTACAGGAAGAGTAATGTTTTGTTTTTGTGTGAATAGTGTAATGGCTGTTGCTAGCAACTCGGGTATTATGGGTAGTTGTAAAGAATTATGTTTTAATGTTATTTTGATGAGTTTGGCAGTGCCTTCATGTGAAGTACTGTCTGGATGGTCAGTTCTGTAGATTTCATAACCATAGATTTAAAATTTAGAATGTGGTGTCAGAAGAGTTTCTGTTATTAGTGCAATGTCAATGCGTTTCTCGTGTAAGTATATGTTTAGTTAGGTCCTGTGTTGACTCACCTATTTGCGTTTCATAGTATTACGGACATGGAGCCCATTCATCTGATTACGATACATATTTTTGGCTTAGGACAATGGTAGCCTGAAATAGTTGTTGTAGTATACCGAAGAGGGGCTGTATCAAGTACTGTAATGCGGTAATCAAATTTATTAGCTCACCTGAGACGGTTTCAGTCGGAGAAGTTGATTGGATAATATACTTACTCATAGCTGCAAATTTCTGTCCTTTATATCTCTGGTTTTGTGCTGGTGCTGGTTGTTATAGTTGTCTCTGCGGCAGCAGAAATGGATAAAACTGCTGAGGCTGATGGAGAGGTGGAAACTTGCTGAGTACTGGTGGTGTTCTTTAAGCTTTTGGAGGCCATTGAAGAATATGATGTCTTATGGAGCTTTTCCTCAGCTCTTTCAATGTTTCGTAACCTCTGTAATTAGCAGGATGAGGTACAGTTGGCACATGTTGCTGCTGTTTCTCGTGTTTGAGCGCATCTGGTGCTTTCATGACGCATACTAAACCATACACACTTTGGCAGATGGTTACAATATGTTTAGGTATGGGGCCATACTGCTGACATCGAATGCACTGTGGGATTTCTCTTTTTGCGTGGTTCTTCTATTTTCAGGTGTATGTAGTAGGAATTCTATTTGAAAGATCTTTTCATTAAAGGTGGCTTTAGATACATCTACCAAAATCATCGGCAAACTTGTTTTGAATCTAGGAATTACATTAGCAATGTTTGTAATCTCTTGTCCATAACTGGCTAGTTCTTGTTTTATTGTACCTACACATGTGGCATACTGTAAATTTTTTATTATGACTAGATGGCTTTTATCTTCCAGAAGCCGATAGGTATGGAAATAAGCACCAGCTTTTCTGACTTGTGACTAACCTCTGATATACATCTGCACTTTAGGGATATACACTAACTCCTTTTTTAGAAGTATTCAGCCTGAAGCTATTAGGGCCACTTTCATTGTGTAAATAATTTATTAATGCTGTATAATCTTTTACATCATATAAGTGTATTGACGGGTGTCTAACTTTGACTGGCTTAGTTGCTGACTGCACATCGTTCTCAGTGTTTGAAAAAGGTTCATACCTATTTTGAGTAACAATGGTTTCACTCACCTTTATTGGCTTGTGCAGTTTTCTTTCTGACAGCGTTTTCTCCTAGACACAAGCTTCCAGGACATAGCTTCAAGTTGTGTTACGTTATTATTGTCTATTTCAATTGAGAAACCACCTGCAGCCGACGATTCCATCATTTTTCTTTTTAGCAGAAAATCTACTTCACTTATAGTTTCACTTCCAATTACTGTAAAGTTATACAGCTTACAAAAATGGGAGAGAATAAGTGTCTAACATTCAGTTTTCTCACTTCAAAGTTAAGAAAATTTATTGAAATAAAGATTAAAAAAAAAATATGACTATTCCATCAATGATATTAAAATGAAAATTTGTAGCTCAATAGTTGGCGAAAATCATGGTCTTGTTTTTATTAAAGAATTACGGTTACCAGTGAATACAATAAGTTTCAACTTTTATTTGTTCATTACTTGTGTTATGGCTTCTTTTTATAACTCTCGAATCGAATTGTCAATCAGGCTCACATTAAATGTTGAAAAAAAGATAAATCAGTATGAAAAGTTTTTTATAATTTACAAGATTTTATCATAAAAACAGATGTCTTCTTCCCCCAAAACTTTTGAACTGAATACCATAAAAGTACTTGAGCTCCTTTCTATTAAAACAGAATATTGAAACAGTGTGAAGTATGGAAAGGAAATAATTGATATAAATAGTTAATGATAAAAATATTAAACTTTTTATTAGGTATTTTGGAATGATACTTATTGAACATTTTTATGAATGAGTGAAACAGAATTCATTGGTTTTTTTTTTTTGGTTTTTTTGTAAATTTAAATACATGTATTTAAATAGAATATATATTTTAAAAACTATGTATTAAAAAATACACTGAAGTTAACAATTTGTAGATGTCCAACATTTTTCAAAGATTAATATGATAAATTAAGTTTTAAATAATATAATTTTAACTATTTATTTATTTTATTTTTAAAGTGATTTATTAGCAGAGATATTAATTTTATTTTAATATACTGCAATTTGGTTGTATCCAAAGCAGTAAGAAAATTCAATTGTATTTGTTTATAACCACAACTGTTTCTTAATTTTTGACCTGAAAATAATGTCTCATTACATTTTTTCAAAATTGTCTTTTCATTAAAGTTGAAAATATTTTCATCATCCTTTGGTTCATATACATTTGATAACTGGTGTTGCAATGGAACTTCATTTCACATTTAATCAATAATATCCATCATTAACAAAGAAAATTTACATCAATTCAACTAGAAAAATATTTGGAGAAAGTTGCTGGAAGAAGTGAGGACTAATTGCATTGTAGTAATACCAGAATATGATGATGGAAATTAGAAAAAATCTGAGTTCAAAAGTTTAAAATGAGCAAAAATAGATAATTAAAAGAGAAAAAGAAACATTTAAGTTTTTTCTTTTTTCCTTTTTTTTTTTTAAGAAAAATAATTGATATTTGACATGAAACACTTATAGCATTTTTATTTTAAATTTAATTAAAAACTAATTATAGTTGAGTACAGTTTTCTCCATGTCTTGGTAAGAATCCTCGACTTTGTATTTCTGATAACCCATTGAACTCATTGCTGCCATCTCGACAACATTTGTTTTTCAAACTGTTCCTCATTTTCTTTAATGCATGCTGCAAAATAAAATAAAATGTTAATTAGAATTATATTGTATGTTGGAGAATGAAATAATTCTAACATCCAAAAAGTAAAATGTTTAATGAAATATTTTTTTACAAAACTAATGAGGCTTGTTTGGTGGGAGGTGGACTCCTGGACTCGCAGTCCAATTGCAAAGGAAATTTTGTTTACAGCAATTGCAATGTTTATATATATATATATATATATATATATATATATATATATATATATATATATATATATATATATATATATATATATATATTATTTCATTAAAATTTATATTTCATTTAAGACATTTTTATCTATATATATATATATATATATATATATATATATATATATATATATATATATATATATAGATAAAAATGTCTTAAATGAAATATAAATTATGAGTCAATATATTAAATAATCCTAAGACATTAAAGTTGATTTTTAAGAGTCTGGATACTTGTTTATGATATTTTAATCAAAAGTAATAAAATTATTACATTCCTTATCTTTCTAGCTAGTTATATCTGTTTGTAAAAGCTCTGATGGTAAATCTAGGATTCTGGAAAAAATTATGGTTTTGCTAGAAACCAAAATATTACTGCTCCCATTTTAAAAATGGCATATAGATCTACCAGTTACTTTGTTGTTAGGATCCGTTCTTACTATCATATAAATTATTTATAATGTTTATCTTGGTTTCATGAGGAGCATCTTCATAAAAAATGCAAGGGCCACAAGCAGTTACGAAACGTAAATTAAGCCTCGGAAAATCGGACCGTCTAAACATGGTAACGACCTCGGCTTTGAATGACGTAATATACATTGGATCTTGGAACTTACGTAGTTTATACAAAAACGATAGTCTAGGAACTAAAGAGGTATAACGTCAATAACAGCAACAGCTGAATAATGAAGCAATGAATTGGTAAGGTGGTCAGATGGTGGCGCAACCATTATCGATGACCGTACACTATTCTACTCCGGAAGAAACGATACAATGCGAAAGCCAGCACATGATTTATAGTTAGCTTAGCGGCAAGGAAATAAATAAGAAACTTCATTCCGATAAACGAAAGGATTAGTGCATTACGAGTTAAAGGTAGTTGGTTTAATATCGCGATAATTAATGTGTATACATCAACCGAAGGTAAAGATAAAGAGGTGAAGGATTGTTACTATGGTCAGTCGGAAAATATCGTGGATCAAGCTTATAGGCCTCACATAAAATTAGTCACAGGTGAGTTTAATGCTAAGATAGGACACGAACCCCAATTCAGGCCCATTATTGAAAGCTTAAGTCTTCACGAAAATAGCAATGAAAATGGAGTGAGATTTTTTTTAGGAGGTGTGGTCGGGGATTTAAAAGTTCCCTCGGCACCGAGACGCGAAGTCGTGACTATTTTTATATCATTAGTCATATATCGGGTTGCCGGGTGCTGCGCACACGCGTTAGCCCATTTGGCCACCCGCCCACCCTGCGGAGTGAGATGTATCAATTTGATAGCAACTAAAGGTCTAGTTGTCAACAGTACAATGTTCCTACACAACGATATGCACAAGTACACCTGGGTAGCCCTAAAGGAGCGAAAAACCAAATTGACCATGTACTGGTAGACTAGAGGCATCAGAGCTCATTACAAGATTTAAGAAGCTATCGTGGAGCAGACTGTGATTCCGATCACTCTCTGATTAGAATTAAACTATGTCAGAGATTGAAGCGAATTTACACAGAAGTTGATCGAGTGGAAATAAGGAGGTATGAAGTACGTAATTTGAAAAATTACGTACTGATTACGTCTTAAAATTACGTACTGACTGGTATTGTCCTAAACGAATTTTTCATAGCATTTATTCAGCTCTATTAAGCAAGCTGGCTTCAAGAAAAATCGAAACACTATCGAAAAAGTAGCTGGTCTAACACAAGAAAAATAAAAAACGGCTTCCGAAGAAAACAGAGCACCCTGGCAATATTCGTAGATTTTAAGACAGCTTATAATAGAGTTTGGAGAAAGAAGCTGGTGAGAAAGCTTGTTAACAAGGGAGTCACAGGATATCTGTTCAAAACTATATCTTCTTTCTTACATCAAAGATTTATAAGGGTCTGATAAAAACTTTGTCTCGACATATCGCCAAACAAAACAAGGCGCCTCACATGGTTCGGTGCTGAGTCCCTTCCTGTTTAACATCATAATTGATGATATCATGGAACTCACTGAAACTATTCCGGGTACAAATGCTCTGCTGTACGCAGATAAACTCGTCATTTGGACACTAAGTAGTGACTTAAAATGACTAGAAAAGCACATGTAACAGGTACTGGAATTACTAGAGAAGTGGGCCGATGAAAACGAGATGATCTATTATTCCGAAAAGACGGAATATCAACGTTTTGCCCTCTCCCCCAAAGCACACAAGGTAAATTTGAACCATAATAATGAGGAGCTCAAACGCACAGAAGAAGCTACATATTTTGGAGTGAAACTCGATAACAGACTCTCCTGGAATAAACATATTAGGAAACAAATAAAGCAGGCTTCACCACGACTTTCGTTAATACAGAAGTTAGGTTTCACAAAATGGGGAGCAACGGGGGATGTTATGGCTCTTGTCTGCAAAACGTATGTCCGCCCTGTTATTGAATACGGCGCAGACCTTGTTATCACTGCTTCAGACGCGATATTACATAATCTGGACATATTTCAAAATCAGGCTGTCAGACTCGTGACAGGAGGAGCAGATCTACTCCAATATCTGCGCTAGAATTACAAACGAGCGTTGTGCCTCTTGAGACACACTGGGAGCAACCGACCAATACGCTCTATGAAAGGCTAAAACGTCTTAAGATCATCTACTGGAGTAACTATGAACCCGCCCGCATCTGAACGCCTTAAAACACAAATAACTTTTACTAAGAAGGTTAGATACAAAGGAAAGGACTAGAACTAGCTGAAAGGGCGCCTCTCCCGACATTGACACAAGTTCCACACACATGCCAATTTGTACAGAACGGTCAATCTTCAGAACGGTTCTAAGGGCTCAACACTAATTTACCAACTAAAGGCTATAACCCTGGAAACTATCGGAAAACGATTCCCAGAAACAGAATGGCTCCAATGTATATTCTGATGGTTCTACACTGGAAGCACGCAAACATGCCGGAGCTGGAGTTTATTCAAACAAGTTTTAACTTGCCGCCCCGGTCGGAAAATTAGTCACAAACTTTGAAGGGGAAGTGAAAGCCATTCTCTTAGGCCTTGAGAGATTGGTTGAACTGAAATACAAGAAAGTTACTTTCTCTGTTGATTCACAGGCAGCAATTTTATTTCTCAAAAATGAGCTATTATATGAATCCATAGGGCCTTAAATGCCATATGTATTTGGACCGATTAAAGGAAAATGGGACAGAAGTCGCTTTCCAGTGGATACCAGGCCATTGCGGGCTCCACGGAAATGATGAAGCTGATAAACTGGCCAGAATAGGTTCTGAAATGATCTAATCAGATATTCCTATGGGCATGGATTCGATTTAAAGAATAATTAAACAGACCTTCTAAAGTTCACTGAAAGAGATATATACGCAAAAAATTAAAAGGAAGCGATGGAGTGGATTGCTGGAAGAAAGTGGCTGGATCCCGAGAGATCTCCCGAGAGGGCAAGCCGTGGTATGCTTTAGAATGCTCACAGGGCATGATTTCCTGCAGAAGCACCTCCATCCCATCGGTATAAAAGATAGCCCGACATATCCTTCGTGTGGATATTATGACAGGAGAACATCTTGATACATGACCTGCATTTCAAGACATAAGATGTTCCTTTAGTGAAATGGACAGCCCTTATGCTAGGAGAGCGAAATTATATTGGACTGCAAGAATACGCATGGCTGATCAAGCAGGCGTTACTTAGGCAAAGGGGGAAAAAAATCAGCTCTATTATGTTATAGCCAACTTCTGTTACTATCTATTACTATTACATATTTTTCTAGATTTATATGTTGATCTGCAAATTAGATCGTCAAGGACAGTTTTACAATTTAATTACACACCGTTAAGAAGGGTTGAACTGAAGGAACATAATAAATTAAAATTCTCTTTTAAATTAGATTTAAATTCATCAATTCATTAGATCGAATTAAAATGGTAAATTCGGTACCTTGAATATTTTGTGAGGTCACAAAGTTTGTAAAGTTTTCTTATTTCGTAATAACTTCTCTGTAGTGAACTCGTTCAATGAATTAAGTTCCACGATCTAAAATATTCATTGCGGTTTATAGCTTTAATGTTTTTCATTTGGGTGATACCTATTAATGAAGAAGTATTTACAAATATTTAAACATGTTTTAGGTTTTTTTTTCTATATTATCGAAAGCATTCGTGATGTATTGATGTTTATATATTTGTTATGGAGATAACTAATATCATATGAGGAGGGGTATCCTTAAGAAATTTAACCATAGCTTGGTTCTAATTTAAATCAACTGGTATTGGAGACGACCTACTCTACGAAAATTGTCATTAAAAGGATATGGCTGCATCTGCTACATCGTTTATCAATGTCATGGTTGAGAGCCTAATTGTTCGTTACCGTAATCCAGTTTGGGAATTCTGCTCATAATACGCTTTGTCTTTTAGGACAGTTTCAATCAACTTTATATTGATTTATTCGGTTGGTTAAAAACACATTACCCAAGCTCTCACGCAGTCTCTTAGTATGTTCTCTCGGCGGATCTCGGAATTAAGACGGAGAAGAATTATGAATAGCTTATGTTAGTAAGATGACTTCCGAATGTTTCTCACTATTATGCTGGGTTAGGGTGGGTGGCTCTTTCCTCTTTTCTGAAGATCATACTTCTTAAGTACGTTCCTTAAGCTAATAATCAACAACATCGCCCTTCGATTATATATATATATATATATATATATATATATATATATATATGTGTGTGTATATATTTTTTACGGTATTAATGTAACAATCACTTCACGTAAAGCTAGGCATA